GGTTTCTTGGCCTGCACAGAAACTTCCAGACAACGGTGGTGGAGAATGTGTAGAATCTTCAGTCCATGTCTCCAGCCTCCCTGAGCTCCTGTGAGCTGAGCCTTCTTCCTGCTGCTGAGTCCCCGAGCTTTGGCTTGTGCTGGGAAACTCACCTTTACCATTTGTCCTTCCTTCTTTTTCTTTTTCTCTCTTCATGATGAAGAAATCCTACAGAGTCCTGAGCTGTCCTGAAAGGTGTGACCATCCTGGGGCTGTAATGACTGGTGTCACCTGCCACGCATTTTAGTTTGTAAGACAGGACCTCATGCTCAGGCTGGCCTTGAACTCATTATTTCTGGGGATGAATTTGAACCTTCATTCTCCTGCCTCCGCCACCAGATGCTGAAATACAGATGTGTACTCCTTTTCTTGTATGTGGGGTTCTGAGGATGGACCTCAGGGCTTTGTGCATGTTGGGCCAGCATCTCCCATTGAGTGACATCCTCACCCTCCCCAGAGGTCTCTCTGATGGCTGAGTGAGGGGCTCAGGAGGGAGGTCAGGCTGGGATAGATGGAGGGGTGGAGTTTGACGGTGCTCTTTGTGTCAGGAGTCAATGGCCTGTGTTGAGTGATGGACAAGGCTGAGGAGGGCTCAGAATATAGGCGAGGATGCCCATGTTGCTGGGTAGGTCAGGAAATGCACCCCTGGAGTCCTGGAGAAGCCGCAGATGGTCATCAAGGAGCCAAAGGATGTTTGACAGTCAGAAAGGGAAGCTAGAGGCCCCAGTGTTGTCTAGTGGCCTTTGATCTATATTTTAATAAATAAAGCTTGCCTGAGGTTCAGGAAAGTAAAAGAGACATACTGGCCATTTTTTTTTGTGTAGGATCAGGCAGCAATGACACACACCTTTAATCCCAGTGGCCACGCTAGCTTGCCCTAGGAACCAGGCGGTAATGGTGCACACCCTTAATCCCAGAACTGGAGAGGATTAAGGATGAGAGAAGACAGCTCTCAGTCAGTCTCATTCTGTGATTTCCTGGAGGCAGGATCCCCATTTTGGACTGAGGCAGAGGTAAGAGCCAGTGGCTGGCTGTTTTGCTTTTCTGGTCTTCAGCTTGAACTCCAATATCAGTCTCTGAGTTTTTATTAACCGCGCATCCGTGTTGTAGAGGAGACATCAAGAGAACAGAGAACTGAAGATGGCCTGAGTCAAGGGCTTCTGTGCACCCTCTGGCATGGGTGCGGCCCCTGGGGCCTTTGGGTGGAGGACAGAAGTAGAAAACCCATTGACCAGAACCAGACCTACGCATCTCAGGCATGGTACTCTGTGAAGATGGCGCCATCCACCTGCCACATTGTGGAGCTCATGACCAAGGCCTCTGTGACCCATAGTGGGTTCCTCCTCATTGGTGCCACTGTCCTGTCACGTGAAGAAGAAGCAAACTTTCCTGTGTGCACAGTGAGATTGACATTTGTCTAATAAACTACTATCCGGTTTGTTGCTCACAGTGATCCTTCCTCCTTTGTATTTTTATTGTATGGGTGGTGGTTTGAATGAGAATGGCCCCCATAGGCTCATGTATTTGAATGCTTTGTCACGGTGGAGTGGAACTCTTTGGTGGGAGCAGAAGGATTAGGAGGTGTGGCCTTGTTGGAGGAAGTGTGTCACTGGGTGTGGGCTTTTAGTTTCCAAAGCCCAAACCAGGCTCAGGTTCTCTTTCCCTCAGAGGAGCAGCATGCATCTCTCAGCTACTGCTCCAGAGCCATGTTCCTGCCATGCTTCCTGCCCGGATGATAATGGACCAAGCCTCTGAAAGTGTACACAAGGCCCCGATTTTTCTTTGATAAGAGTTGCTTTGGTTACAGTATCTCTTCACAGGTATAGAATGACTAAGACAATGTGTGTCTGTGTACACATGCATGTCCAGGTATATATAGGCACATATGTGTTCACTCACGTGGAATCCGGAGGTTACTTTGTTTCTTTTCCAGGTGCTAGCCATATGTCCTTTTCTCCCAGGTAAGGTTTCATTGTATCATACTGGCCCTGGCTGTCCTGTAACTTGCTCTTCAGCCCAGTAGGGGGGGTATAAATGAGAATGGCTCCCATAGGCTCATGCTAAGTCCCCAGTTGGTGGAACTGTTTGGGAAGGATTAGGGGGTGTGGCCTTGGTGGAAAAGATGTGCCACTCAGGGTGGGTTTTGAGTTTTAACTGGACTGGCATCTACAGTGAGCTCTGACTGCTTTTGACTTGCTGATCGAGGCGTGAGGTTCCAGCTCTTCCTGCCACCACGCTTTTGCCATCCTGGACTCTAACTCTCTGACTCCATAGCCCCAGGTAAACAGTTTCTTTGGTAAGCTTCCTTGGTCATGGTGTTTGACACAGCAATAGAAAGGTAACTAAGACGACCAGGCTGTCTTTGAACTCAAAATCTTTCCCCTGTCCTTGCATTCTGAGGATCCTTTGCAATGCTTAGAGTTCAGCTCTCTTCCAACATCTGGGATTCTTTGAAAAAAGTTTTTGTTTTTATGTGTATGGACATTTTCTTCCTTGCATGTATGCACTCCAAATATGAGTCCAGTGCCCACCAGACCAGGAGATGGCATAGATCCCCTGGAACAAGAAGGCTGGGTGTATGCTGGGAATTGGAAGTGAGTCATCTATAAGAGCAGCCAGTGACCTTACCTGCTCAACCCTCTTTCCAGCCCCATGTCTGACATTTTTATGTGGGTTCTGTAGATCAAATTCAGGTCCTCATGCTCATATGACAAACATATTATTGCCTGAGCTCCTTGCCCCATGCATGCATGTGTGTGCGTTTGTTAGAGTATGCATGCACACATACATGTTTGTGCACATTGTATGTATGTATGTATGTATGTATGTATGTATGTATGTACGCAGACATGTTTTATGCACAGGGTGTGTATGTGTGTATGTGGCATTGTGCCTATGGTTTTCTTCATCTAGGAGGGAGGTCACTTTCTCTGAGAAGACCTTAGACTTTCAGTGTTTTTTCCCAGTGCACACCCGGTGTGGGACAAGTTGTAGGCTGTGGGGAGACCTAGATTTCAGAGGGTCAGGATCCAAGCTCCACACCCGAATCCATCGTACTCTAAACACATGACATGTGTATGTGGGGGACACCACTGGGTGCTGCTGCACATAGCAGAGTGGTGCATGGCCGGCCTTAAAGGAGAAACAATGTGCAGGTCCAGTGTGGGACACTGAGACTGGTCAATGCGGTCTGGGGCTCAGTGATACCATCAGGGACCCAGATGTATGACCATTCCTCTCTGTCACCTCCAGCTCCCAAGCCTTAGTGCTCAATCTGCCAACACCTTGTGGTTGAAACACTTCTCCAGTTAAAAGGGGGAAAGTGCCAGGAAGTCGTAGCACACACCTTTGATCCCAGCACTCAGGAGACAGAGGCAGGTGGATCTCTGTGAGTTCGAGGCCAGCCTGGTCTACAGAGCGGGTTCCAGGACATCCAGGGTTACACAGAGAAACCTCTCTTGAAAAACAAGATGAAGGGCTGGAGAGATGGCTCAGAGGTTAAGAGCATTGCCTGCTCTTCCAAAGGTCCTGAGTTCAATTCCCAGCAACCACATGGTGGCTCACAACCATCTGTAATGGGGTCTGGTGCCCTCTTCTGGCCTGCAGACATACACACAGACAGAATATTGTATACATAATAAATAAATATATATATATATAAAAGAAAAACAAGATGAAAGCAAAAGGGGAAAGTCCTGGGCCTGGTGGTGCACATGTGTGTTTCCAACACAGGGAGGTGGAGGCAGGAGGATCATGAGTTCAAGGTTGCACTCCACATCTCCTTTTCTAAAAGGCGAGGGAGGGTTAAGAAGGACAGAAAACCCTGCAGGGTGAATCTTGCCCTATCTGGGAACCTCTGTGTGAACCATCAGGTTCATTCCCTTGGCCTGAGAGGGGTACCATGGCCAGCCATGCCTGGGGGTGGGTCAAGAAAGGAAGCTGGTGCCAGACTCTGCCAAGGCACTGCCTGGCACTCTGCTCAGACCATTAAACAAGGCAGGAAGGACCCTTCTTTCCACAAATTATTTTCATTTAATTTTATTACTAATATAGATGTGCATAAATAATGTTGTGTGTGACTGTGTGTACCCATGTGGAGAGAAAAGGGCGTTTCTTAATATTTAGATGAAAACTCTTGCTCATGATTGAGGCTTTAAAGTGACTTTGCTGGGTCTGGGCTCAGAATTCCATAGATCCAGGGTTGAGGGTTTAGCCTGGAGGACCTGAGTCAAATTCTCAGAACTCACATAAAAATGTTGGATATGGTAGTGTTTGCTGGCAACCCCAATGCAGTGAGGTGGAGACATGAGGCACTTCTAAGGCACCAGCCAACCAGTGAGTCGCCTAATGGGTGAGCCCCAGGCCAATGAGGTCCCCAACATGCAGGTGCACACACATTAACAAACATACTCAGGTATACACACACACACACACACACACACACACACACACACACACACGTATACACATACATGGAAACATGCACACAAATTTATAATCATGCTGAGGTACACACACATATATGCATGTACACAGGAACATGCACACACATTTACAAACATGCTCAGGTGCACACACGTGCATTGATGCACACAAGAACACATACATTAAAAAAAGAAAGAAAGCAAAAGAAATACAGGGCTCTGGTCAGGGCAGGTGCCAAGGACTGGAGCTCTTCTCTCTACCCCAGCCTCTGTCAGAACCTCACGGAAGCTCAATCTGTTTCACCAGATAGATCCCCGTGTCAGCTGCTGTGGTCACACTTGCTAGAGTGGGACATCTGACTCTACCAAGATAGTTGTTGGTGGCAGTGGCATCTTACTTGCCCTCTGCCACTCTGCCTCACAGGGAGAGGCTTGCTTTAGATGCTTTAGAAATCCATCCTCGGTTCATGGAATCCTGCATCTCTAGAGCTGGACCACCACTCTCTTCCTGGTCCTTTCCCCAGCAGACTCTGAACCATGGTCTGCATGGAGCAAGAGGCTATTAGCTTCTTGGTGGCTACACTGAGCGGCGCCGTGTGCCATTGTGAGCCCATTTGGAGGGTGATGTTTCCAGAAGATGAGACGAACCCAGATGCCAGAATTTGGGAGGGTCTGCGGCACATGTGCCCGGCTCCGAAAAGCAGCAGGATACAATGCACGTTGTACGGCACCCGGCCAATTGTAGCCCAGGCCCTAACTGTGTCTCGAGTCTTCATGGAACCTGGCTAGGTCTGCTGCTGTGCATGGTCGGGGATAAATGTATCACGGCTGTGAAGTACTGGAATATTGAAGCTGAGATCATGAGGACAGCCAGTGTGATATTCCTCGGTATTGGCTTTCTGGTGCTGATGTCTCTGTCCTGGGTGGCACACAACATCAGCCATGGCTTCTCCAACCCACTGTTGGGCTCCATGAAGAAAACAGAAATGGGTGCCTCACTCTGCCTGACCAGTTCGCTGCGCTGTTGCTCGGAGCACTGTGCTACATTTCGGCTGCCCACCATGCAGGGTCTGCCTCTTTTTCACTGTGGACTCTGTGGGCAGATGGTCAGGAGCCAACAGCAAAACATCAGGTAAGTCTCTCCCTACCTTTTGAGCTGTTTCTTTTCAGACCAGCCTCAGGCCATCTCATGGCCCTGCTCTGCAGGCGTTTGATTCTCAGAGTGAGTAGGAGGCCCAGTAAGCTTCTAAGACTCAAGACACCACTCCCTAGTTTCTAGACTCAGTGGACTGTTGCTGGTCCGTGGAACTGCCCACAAGCTGTCCAGGGACTTCAGGGATGCGGCTGGATGAAATGTCACCATGCTGAGCAGGCTTATTGGTGATGAAGCTGCTTGATCACCTATGAACTTATAAGTGACCCCAATAAAGTCATTGTTCCCCCAAGTTGGACTTGGATGGAGTTGGTTCTTTGGTCTGAGGTTGCTCTCTAAGTTTGGACTGACTGGAAATAGACCAAAAGGGAAACAGCAGAAGCCAGGATGGTAATGCTAGGACTTGCTGGCTGTTTGGGGGGATGGACGAGAAGAGCCTGAGCCAGCCTGGTGCCAGCCTGGCCCATTGTGACACCTTCCTAATGAACTTGTCACCAGGCTCAACTCTGAAATTACTGATAGTCTTTGGCCTTGGCACCTCTGCCACTTGCTTGCAGAAGATAAGCTTGGGTATTGATAACCACCTGCTCTGGCTGGCAGTCACTAGGGTACCATACATGTCGGCCCACGGGAGACTCCAGCCTGGCTCCAAACATCATATATGTATTTTACATGTATGTTTGCCCACATGTGTGGAGGACGGATGTGAATGTCAGACGTCTTTGTCAATCAGTTTTCTGCCTGTTCTTTGAGAAAGTACTCACTGGACTGTGAACTCAAGGTATCTTCCAGACTCGATGGCCCTCCTTCAGGCTCCAGGGATCCTCTTGCCAGTGTCCCCCAGTGCTGGGATTACATGTGTGTGCCTCCACATGCTTTCCTTCACATGGGTGCTGGGTTCTGAACACAGGTCCTCATGCTCACGTGGCCAACCCTTTTTGCAACCGAGTCCCTCAGATGGGCTTTGGGCCCAGTGCAAGCTGCTTCTCATGACACTCCTGGCTTAAGGGCTGGCCCGAGCAGAGCTGAGCAGCACCCTGTCTTCAGGGTTCTGAGCTGTGTGGTGAGGAGAAGGACCGTGTGTGGCGTGTGTGGAAGGATGGGGTGGGTATTCTCCTGTCGCTTGGCCTCCATTCTTCTCATTGCTGTGACAAAATGACTGACAAAGGAGGGAAAGGTTTACCTTGGCTCACACCTCGAGAACACACAGCCCATGATGGCAGGAAGGCATGGCAGCAGGAGCGTGAAGCAGCTGCTCACGTGGCGTCCATAGTCAGGAAGCAGAGAGAGATGGATGCTGGTGCTCAGCTCACTTTCTCCTTTTTATTCAGTCTGAGGTCTCAAAGCATGAAATGGTGCTCCCACAGTTGGGGATGGTCTTCTCACAACAGTCAATGCTAGAGAACTCTTTCATGGGCAGGCTCCGAGTTTTGTTTCCATGGTGATTGAGTTGACAAGATTAACTCTCACCTGAGTGTGGTGTGGGAGAATTGTCTGTATTCTGTCAATCATGTTTTAAATAAAAACGGATTGGCCAATAGCCAGGCAGGAAGTATAGGCAGGGATAACCAGACAGGAAGTAGAGGTGGGGCAATGAGAACAGGAGAATTCTGGGAAGCAGGAAGCTCACTCCACAGTCCTGCCCAGATCACTGAAGAAGCAGGATGTGACCTGCTCCTCTAAAAAGGGTACTGAGCCATGTGGCTAACATAGATAAGAACAAAGGGTTAATATAAGCTGCAAAAGTTAATAAGAAGTCTGAGCTAATGGGCCAATCAGTTTATAATCTTTTTTTATTTTTTTTTTATTTATTTTTTTTTTTTGGTTTTTCGAGATAGGGTTTCTCTGTGGCTTTGGAGCCTGTCCTGGAACTAGCTCTATAGACCAGGCTGGTCTCGAACTCACAGAGATCCGCCTACCTCTGCCTCCCGAGTGCTGGGATTAAAGGCGTGCGCCACCATCGCCCGGCTCAGTTTATAATCTTATAGAGACCTCTGTGTGATTTTCTTTGGGGCTTACCGGCTGTGGGAACTGGGTAGGACAGAAACCCCAACAAGCCCGGCCCTCATGTTACATGGGTGTGTTACTGCAGGGGGCCTGGCTGTCTCTGAGGGCACTCACCATCAATGCTTCATGGAGCATCCTTGTGTCGGGTGGAGATGGTGGCTGGTCCTGTGTTTTGGCATTTGATTCCCATTGAGATGAGATGAAAGGTCTAAACATCCCCCATTATACAACCAGACCTAGGTTCCTTCCTTCCTTCCTTCCTTCCTTCCTTCCTTCTTTCCTTCTTTCCGTTTTTCAAGACAGGATTTCTTTGTGTATCTTTGGTTGTACTGGAACTCGCTCTGTAGACCAGGCTGGGCTCAAACACAAAGAGATCCACCCTCCTCTGCCTTCAGAGTGCTGGGATTAAAGGTGTGCACAACCATACTAGGCTAGATTTCAGTTTCTTAAGAGCAAACAAGTTTTGTTGGTTTTTTTCATTGTTGTTGTTTTGTTTTTGTTTTTAACAAAGGGCCATTGGTCCACAAACTCCTGACAGGAAGGACAAAGGAGAAAACACATACGGCGCCTGAACCAGCACCCACAGTATCTCAAGATGATGGCCAAAAACAGGACGGTTCCTGGAACTCCCCTGAAACACACCAAACTTACCCAGATATGTCTAAAGATGAAAAAACTAGAACCCCAGCCTATCAAAAATATACTAACACAACTTCTGCCTGACTAAACAGTTATGCTTGAGATGACTTAACTGTTCCTGGAATTCCCTTAGCTTTGCTTTAAAGGAGCCTGCCTGTTCCTCTCATGGTCGCCATTTTGTACAAATGGTTGACCCCGCATGCTGGTTCTTTTTGCAGGATAAACGCTCTTTGTTTTCACATACTATTCGAGTTCGGGGTCATCAGTGTTTCTCGGACCCATCCAGAGGCCAATAGTACATGACGGATCTAGGATAAAGGAGGTTTGTTGACCGCATCTCTAGCGCCTTCGGCAGCAAGTCTAGCCTAGTTGGTTAGCACAGCTCCAGTGAGAGACCCAGTCGGAAAAGAGGTAGACAGAGTTCCTAGGGTCATAGCACTGGCTGTCCTCTGGTATCTACATGCATATGATTACAAATATGAGCTTGTAGACACACTCATTAACATGCACACACACAGGTACACACACATGCACACACATGCTCACACTCATTTAAAAAGAAGAATTATATGGATCTGATATGAGGTCAGAGACTGAAGTTCTTCCCCTCTGCCCCATCCTCTGCCAGAGCCCCACAGTCACTCAGTCGGCTTCACCAGGTCCCTGTGTTGACTTCTGTGGTCACATTTGCCGGCTTGGCTCTCAGACTTGACATATACTCATTGGTGTTGGTGAAGTCTCTGAGAGACTTTGGCCTCCTAGGGAAGGCTTCCTCATCTCCCCGGCCCCACCCCTGTCTCCTTGTCCTGATTCCAGCGGACTCTGAGCCATGGCTCCCCTGGCAGTGTAGCTGAATGGTCAGCACCTCTCAGGGCACACTGATCTGTCTGTTTTCCATTGTGAGCTGCGTACTGCCCAGGTGGTGAACGATGAAAAATTTGCAGGATGAGATGGCTATAGCTGTCTATGTTTGCAATGGCGGGTGGAAGATTCGCGAGGTTCAAGGATGTGGCTAGATGGAGTGCGGGCATATGACTACCAGACACCTCTGCTGTGGGACATACAGGGCCACCGTGGTCATCTGCACCATTGTCACAGGGTTGATTTTGTTGCTGTGGGCGATTGGAGACAAGTTCAGCGAGCGGAGCTTGAATGAGAATCTGGATTGATCATGCTGCGGGGAGTTGAGCTGTCCTTGGGAGTTAGCTTGCCGTTGCTGGCATCCATGTCCTGAATAACATTCATCCTCCTTGGCTTCTCTGCCCCACTGTTGGTCAGAAAACAGACAAGGGGCCTTACTCTACACGGGCTGGACCAGTCAGTGCTCCTGCCCCTGGAGAGGACCCTGTTGCACAGCTAATGTCTACTTGGCAGTAGCCTTTCCATCCTGTTGAAGACTCTGTGAACAGCTCTGCCCCAGGCAGCCAGGCATGAAGTGGGCCACTGTGCTGGTGAGTCTTATGTCAACTTGACACAAACTAGAGTTCTCTAATTGAGAAAATGCCTCCATAACATCTGGCTGTAAGGTATTTTCTTACTTAGTGATGGATGGGCAGGGCCCAGCTCCTTGTGGGTGGGGCCATCCCTGGGCTGGTGGTCCTGGGTGCTGTAAGAAAGCAGTCTGAGCAAGCCCAGGAGACCAAGCCAGTAAGCAGCACCCCTCCATGACCTCTGCATCAGCTCCTGCCTCCAGGATCCTACCCTGTTTGGGTTCCTGTCCTGACTTTCTTGATGAAGACAGGGAAGGTGGAAGTATAAGCCAAATAAACCCTTTCCTCCTGGAGTTGCTCTCTGGCCACAGTGTTTCCTAGCAACAATAGAAACCCTGACTAGTTACTTTCTACCCTTTGAGTCTGTTAATCCTTAAACCGAGTTCATACCCTCTAGTGAACCTATTTTGTAGTTGTTCCCTTAGGACAGAAACATTCTTGGGGAGAGGGGAGGGGGAGACTTGAGAAACTTACAAGACTCTGGGGCCCCTCCCCAGGTTCTAGAAGTGGTAGACTATTGGGGAGTTATTGAGGAGGAGACCCTTTTAGGGAGCTTGAGGGTTGTGCAGGGAACACGAGGGATACAGTTCTCATGGGCAGTTACTATGCTGGGCTGTGATGCAGCTGCCTGAGATACAGATGATCCCATGATGCTCCCCTACAAACTCTTGGTTTCTTCAGGTTGGGCTCAGATGGAATCATTCCATTGTTCTCTATTTGGAGTGGTTAGAAAGAGGACAAAAAGCAACTAATGGGTGTTAATACTGGATGCTAATGCCAGGACTGATGGCCGTATGGGGATGGGCCAGTGGGGACAGAAGCAGCCCAGTACCATCCCGGCCCACTCACACATCTCCCTAAGGCTCTTTCGGTTGTGATTGGCCTGCCCCAAATGAATGTATCCTAAAGAGACACTTTAGCTATCAAAGTATTAAAACATCGAGTCCGAAGAGATTGGAATTTTGCGAACAGTCTCATGCTGGGAGAAGAAAAGTCTGGGCCCCCAATGTGGGGGCCAACAAGATGGCTTAGCAGGTAATGGTGCTTGCCACCAAACCTCACGGCCTAAGTTCAAACCCCAGGAACCACATGGTGGAAGGAGAGAAATGACTTCTTTGGGTTATTTCTGGCTCTACACGTGTCCTGTGGCACAAGTGCCCCCATACCCCATAAATTAATAAGTATAATTAAAAAAAACTTGATTGTGAAATTCATTTTACTATCTTTTTTTTTTTTTTTTGCTTTTGTTTTTATTTTTCAAGACAGGGTTTCTCTGTAGCTTTGGAGCCTGTCCTGGAACTAGCTCTTATAGACTAGGCTGGTCTCAAACTCACAGAGATCCGCCTGCCTCTGCCTCCCAAGTGCTGGGATTAAAGGCATGTGCCACCACAGCCCAGCTTCCTTTTAAAATCAAATGTTTAAAGTTTATTTATTTTTATGTGTGTTGTGTGCAGGTCATAGAGGTCAGTTTTCTCCTTCCATCAAGTTGTGCTCTGAGGATTGAACTCAGAACAACGGGCTTGGTGGCAAGCTCCCTTGGCTCACTGAGCCATTTTTCCAGCCAATAGTAAGGCAAAGGCTGGCTTAGGGTTTGTGGTCCCCCTGTTCCAGCCTTTTTAGCATCTCCTGCCTGCATACTCACTGCTCCATGACTGGTTTAAATTCTGTTTCTGCAGTACAGACAAGGATCCGGCTACTTGAATAGAGATTCCCAGAAGATTTAGGAAACTCGCCCGGCTGCTGCTGGCGACGGTGTGGAGCCAGCCTCGGCACCTGCTGTACTGGACATGCAGGTTTGTTCTCAGGCCAGGTGCAGGTCCCCAGGCTTTGTGGCTCCAGGCTGTGGATCTCTTTCAAGCCCTGTCAGGGTTTCTAGTGCTGCGATAAAACACCATTACTAAAAGCAACTCAGGGAGGAATAAACTGGTTTATGTCTGTTTACAGCGTGTAGTCCACCAACCAAGAAAGTCAGGGCAGGAACTCAAGGCAGGGATCCGGAGGCCGGAGCTGATGCAGAGGCCGTGGAGAAATGCTTACTTAGTGGTTTGCTCTCCATAGCTTGCTGAGCCTGCTTTCTTATAGCAGCATATAGGGCGACCAGCCCAGAGACGGCACCATGTACAATGAGCCCAGAGACTGCACCACCACCACGTACAATGAGCAGGAGCCTCTCATGTCAATCAAAAAAAATGCCCCCACGGGATTGCCCACAGGCCCAACTGGTGTGAGCATTTTCTCAACTGAGGCTCCCTCTTCCCAGGACTCTAGCTTGTGTCAAGCTGATCTAAAACTGGCCAGCGTGAACTCTGAGTGAATTATATTTCGAACAGTCTGGTTTGGAGATACAGGATCAGTCTAGAATTAGCTGGGGAGGTGACAGGGTTGAGCTGCCATTAACAGGACTGGGAAGTCATTTGGACATGGTTGTCCCAGAGCAGAGTAGGGAGGAGCCAGTGAGGAGAGGAAGTCATGGCGCAGGCAGGTTGTGGCAGCAAGGGCATTGAGCCATGTGTTGTCTTCCCTTACCTGCTTCATGATTAGTTTTCCCTCGACTGGGCCCCGCCCCCTTTCCTTTTCATTTCGTCCCCGAGGTGACCTCATGGTACTCAGGCTTGACTTACTGTCTGGTCAAAGATCCTTCTGGCTTCATCTCTGGAGTGTGTGCAGGGATTACAGGCCTGCGCCATGACATCTGGTTCATACAGGGCTGAGAACGAAATGCAGGCTTCTCGTGTGCTAGGCAATCACTCTACCAACGGAGACAGCTTCATTCCCAGCCTAAATACTAATCTAAACTACTCTCTCTCTCTCTTTCCCTCCCTCCCTTCCTCCCTCCCTCCCTCCCTCCCTTCCTCCCCCTTCTCTCATCATCCATTATCTGTCTATATCATCTATCATCTATTTATATCCATCTATCTATCTATCTATCTATCTATCTATCTATCCCTCTATCTTCTCTCACCGTTCCTCCTTCCCTCCTTCCTTCCTCTTTTGTACTGGGAACTAAACTCAGGACCTTGCACTTGCTAGCCTGTGCTCTACCACTCAGCTACACCCCTCGCCCTTTGGAAGGAAATGTGATGGGGAGGCCCAGTGAGATGCCTTAGTGGGTAAAGCATTTGCCATGAAAGCCCGATGGCATGAGTTTGATCTGCAGACCCACATAAAGGCGGAAGGAAGAAATCAAGTCCACAAAGTCACCCCATGAGCTCTGTGCAGATCTTCTGTCCCTCAGAAACAAATCGTGGTGGTATGAGTGGGCGTGGTTCCCACAGGCTAGCATATTTGAATGTGTGGTCCCTGGTTAGTGGAGATGTTTGAAAAGGATTAAGAGAGTTGCCTTGTTGGAGTCCGTGTGCCACTTGGGATGGGCTTTGGCATTTCAAACACCCATGCCAGGCCCAGGATGGGTCTCTGCCTCCTGCCTGCAGATCAGGATGTGAGCTCTCAGTTACTGCTTCAGCGCCACGCCTGCCTGCCTCCCACCATGCTCCCTGCCACGATGGTCATAGACTAATTCTCTGAAACGTTAGCAAGGCCCCAGTGAAAAGTTTTCTGGTACAAGCTGCCTTGGTCACAATGTCTCTTCACAGCAACAGAACAGTAGCTAAGGCATATACCATAATAAATAAAAATTAAAGATTTTGACAGGGTTGGTATTACATGTACCACCTCACTCAGCTAAATATATTTTAAAATATGGTTAGCATATACATTGCATATCCAGAACAATACATGTAGTATTCGTAATGATTTGAAAAAACATACATGAGGGCTGGAGAGATGGCTCAGAGGTTAAGAGCACTGCCTGCTCTTCCAAAGGTCCTGAGTTCAATTCCCAGCAACCACATGGTGACTCACAACCATCTGTAATGAGGTCTGGTGTCCTCTTCTGGCCTGCAGACATACACACAGACAGAATATTGTATACATAATAAATAAATAAATAAATATTTATAAAAAAAAAGAAAAGAAAGTACATGAATGCTGTCATGCTACACCCTGCTCCCCGGAGCATTCCTTTTCCACCTAACCTTTTCTGGATCTTTCCATGTCAACCCATATAGCTCTCATTTATCCTAGCCAAGCTCCAGTCAACCTTCAAAGGAGTTTCATGTTTATTCTTCTATCTCTCTACCGATGGGAAGAGCCTTCCACAGTTCTGTGCTTGTTACTCATGAGTAGACGTTTCTGTAAGGAGATCTTCTGCCAATGGGGGTACCAAGTAAGACGAGTAGAAACTAGAAAACGTGAATGGTTGGTGTTTTTTTTTTTTTTTTTTTTTTTTATGAGCCCTCACTGGGGGATTCTAGGCAGGTGCTCTACCACTGAGTCACACCCAGCCCCTCACTGGGAGATTCTAGGCAGGGGCTCTACCACTGAGCCACACCCCTGCCCCTCACTGGGGGATTCTAGGCAGGGGCTCTACCACTGAGCCACACCCCTGCCCCTCACTGGGGGTTCTAGGCAGGGGCTCTACCACTGAGCCACACCCCTGCCCCTCACTGGGGGTTCTAGGCAGGGGCTCTACCACTGAGCCACACCCAGCCCCTCACTGGGAGATTCTAGGCAGGGGCTCTACCACTGAGCCACACCCCAGCCCCTCACTGGGGGATTCTAGGCAGGTGCTCTACCACTGAGCCACACCCCTGCCCCTCACTGGGGGTTCTGGGTAGGTG